TATATAAAAGATGTACAACATAACAGTGCACACAATTTTTGAGGCATTTCCGACAGTTTAAAGAAATTGGAAGGTTGTAGGATGAATATACATCTATTTCATACCAGTTACAACAAAAATTGAAAAAATTTTTTTAAATAAAAGATTATGTACAATTTTCAATGAAAAATTTAATAAAAAAGAATTTTATTGTAGTATTGTGAAAAGAGTTCTTAAGGTAAATTACAAGAATATGTAATGAAAAATGGAATTTAAAAAATTCAAAATAATCTTGTACTAATCTTGACGAAACCACAAGGTACAATCATTAATGATTTGATCTTATATTCCCATTGAAGTCAAAACTTTTGTCTGAAATATTTTTCTCTAAAACTATTCAAAAAATGCACTATTCAAAAAATACTTGAGATAATAAAAATGGAATATCCTATATATATATATGATTTTATATATTCATATATATGAAATTCGAATTGATATATAGGATGTCCCGAATTTAAATTCGAGACCCTGTATATAGGATGTTCAGTAAAAACCGTAATAACATTTAAAGATAGATTCTCGAGATCATTTTGAGACGAAAATTGTATTACTAAAATGTTGAGAATACAATAGTTCTTGAATTGTAATTTAAAATTAGCGAATTATACCGCTTAAAGTTTATTCCAACCAATCATATTTAATTACTGAGTAAGCAGATCTAGGCTGCGTTCCACTTAATGCAAGCATCGTTTGTCTTTGTTTAACATTTGATAAACGACAAGGATGAAATGATTCCACGAGCGTTGTGAGCGTTAAGTGGAACGCAAGCCTAATCGTTTTTGTGTATGTATGTGAATTCATCCATTAATCCAGTATTAAAATATTGATATTTTCGGTGCGATAGCCCATCCTTAAAACAATATAAATTAACGGAAACATAATAAAAAGCACAAGCAATAGAAACAAGAATTAACAATTTCAACCTATCAGAAACCCTGTATACTAGAATGGACGCTTTCTAATAGGTTAAAATCTCTTATTCCCTATTCCTATTGCCTATGCTTTTCATTGCGTTTCCGACTTAATGCGCATATTTAAGATGCATTTTCATGGGTTAGTTAGTGCGTTAGTTAATGCGTGTCAAGACAATTTTGTGATGTAAAGCCAGTTCTACATTAGTTGCAAGCTAATTGCAAGTTTATTGCGACAGCCAATATGAAGGGTTGATTTCAAAATACAAGCTTCAGATTGGCTGTCGCAACAAACTTACGATCAGCTTGCAACTAATGTAGAACCGGTTTAATAGATCTTAGGCCGGTATTCATAGTCAAATCTTATATTCAAGACGTCTTTAGATACTCTACAAATTATTTCATCGGTTGCTGAGCATCTAAAGATAAATTTAAGAAAGCCTTAAGTACAAGGTCTGACTATGAATACGGGCATTAATCTTTGTCCCAGAAATTTCCTATCTTTTCTCCACGACCGTCTACAACTTCTATGTAGAGGATCCTTAAAGAGTCAAGGTGTGAACGCGCTCTGCGCACAATAGAATAAATATATTATTCTATATATAT